CTGCGTTCAGCAGTATAGGCTAAATACCAAATATTTGTATGTTGCATCTCTAATTTAGAAGCAGAAATTGTTGTTTATTTTTTTAAATTTAATTTTTTTAATTATAATTTTACAGTGTTGAGCATAATCTTGTATGTCTTTACAATTTAAAAACTCATTGAAATTTTTTTTTCCTGCAATAATGGACCCTATTTGCACAAATTCATAAAAGCGGACCCTGGTTGAAAGAATGTGAGTAATTTTTTCACAATTTCACGAAAAACGGACCTTTCACAAAATGTCTGGACAGACCCCTGATATATATATATGTGTGTGTGTGTAAATACCTTTGTAAATTTAAAAGATTTTAGGCTTTCTAAACTTTACTCTGTAATATACACTCTTAAATAATGTTTACCTACAAAAACAACTTAAAGCCTCGGATGAATTTCGAAGAGGACTCTACTCAGAAAACTGTAATGATAATTTTTCACCATAAATTTTTAATTCTTGTGTACTATGCAAAATTGTTAATTTGGTAAAAGGGAAAAATTCTTAAAACAAATCAAGGAGTTCTACTTTTTCAGGACTGACTGAAATTTCTGTTGATTTTCGGAGTTGGGGCTTTTTCAGAATTCACAATCTAATTGCCTGCAAGATTTTTATTTTCTTTTTTATTAGACAAATATAAAATTTAAATTCTTTTTATTTTAGGTTATCTATTATCAAACTTCAAATCACTGTATGATATGTGAAGAAAGAAATCGTAGTATTACTGTAGTACCTTGTAGCCACTATGTTTTATGTACTCAGTGTGCTCCTCATCAAAAAAACTGCCCCTACTGTCAAGAAGAAATTACTTCATTATCTAATGCATCTTTATAAGAATTACTGTTTTTAGGTTTTTTGCGATTATGAACTTTTTACCAATGTAGTCCCCTTACTTGCTGACCATCTTTATAAAGTTATAGTGGAAGATCAGGCCAAAATAAAAGTGATAGTGGTGGCTATTTCCAGAGAATATGATTGGATTCAATGTATACTAGTAAAAAAAAGCTTTATATTTCAAAATAGTGAAATAAAATGTTTCCATGTCTTAACTATTCTGTTTGCAAACTGAGTTGGTATTTTGAGTTCATTATTTTTTTTTTCTTGATGAATGTCAGTATTGGAGTATGGGGGTTATTAGGTTCTTTTACTTAACTTTCTTATTATTTTTATAAAGTGTTAAGCAAAGTATTTTTTATTTTTGTGATAATCAGCAAAGGAACTGTTCTGAAACGAACAAAAATATTGTAGAAATTGTTAATGGATAAATATATATTTTTATTTTAGGTGAATTATAAGCTTTCCAATTGATAAATTAGGCACTTTTTTCCAATTATTTTATTAAATCTTGTGTTTGTAACTATGTAATTTAATGGCTATCAACTTGACTAAACAATCCAGATTTTGCTTAGGTTTCTCTAGAAAATTGTTTTTTTTTTATTCGCTTTCTTCCTCTTGTGACCTTATAGCAGAATTTAAAGAGTCAATCTGGACAGTAATCTTAATGAATTAAAATTTGTCTGCTACCTTAACACAGCCAGACAGAGATTATTATTGTAAAAACTAAATTCAAACTAACATTTGTTCATCAAAGTTAGAACATATAAGGGTAGATAAGAATTATACGTGAAAGAATGTTTTAAACAAATTATTTTAATTACGAATTTCATACACTTTTAAAGGAATGGAATCATTGAAGCTTAGAAAATGGAATAAGTCCTTATATAGTGTAAAATAAGCAAATCTGAAATAGAGTTTATTTTTTAAATTTTTAGTTAAATTCTTAGTTTTTTTAATATTTCAGATAATTAATGTATATTATTTAAATTTAATGGTTCTAGCATTCATCACTTTTTTGTTTATAAGTCTGCAAATTGGCAAACAAATTTTGCTGAGCACTTAAAACAAATAATAATTGAGTAACGAATTAATGATTGATTTTCCTCTTTCTCCTCTCATTAATATTTTTGATATGTTTTTGTTTTTTTAATTTGATATGGGTAATAATCTACCTCTGATAACCTATAGCTCCTGCTGCCATGCACAAGGATTTCCGCTACTGGATGCATGGCCATTCGCATAAAATCATTGACAATTTTTTATTGTAAATTATCATTTAAAAGTGAATGCTGATGTGGTATTAATAAGTTTAATTTCGCTAGAAACTTTTATAGTCTTATCTATTAATATTAAAATTATTTCATAATGAGAGACATATTTGACAGGTTATTATTGTCTATCAAATATATGTCTGTTGTGTAACAAATACAGGTAGCTGTTATGAAATTAGATGTCGTAAAAAAAGTTCTTTGCTTTATTTGCTTTAGTTTAAAATACTAAACCTTGATAGCATTTTCTTTGTCAATTCTGGTTGTTCAGTTATGTTGATAGTTAAGTCTATGTTGTACTTAAAATTTTCAGTGTTGGTGAATCAAGAAAAATATCCATTTCCCTATTTAAAATGCTTTACTAATTGTGGTTTATTAAATATAATCCTAACAAACGTCTTAAATTCTAAATCTAATGTCTTAGAGGATAAATTTCACTTTTCTGTATACAAAATTTAAAAAAAAAATCAATGTATAGTTTTATAAATCACCATTGCACAAAGGTTTGCATTATACAGACTGCAAAGAGGAGCAGCTATAACTTATGTAACAAATTATTAATAGCTTATGATTTTTCTTTATGTTATTAATAAAAAATAAATTAACATATTGAATTACAGATTCTTAATTTAATATAATATTTTGTGCTACATTTACTGATTAATTTAGTAATGTTTTCTTTCTGGGTGTTATATTTTAATTTGTTATTAAATTTATAAGTTCAGTTAAAAAGTCTATATGTATAAGGAATATTTTCAAGTAGGTTTGCTCTCTGCCCATTCAAAATAAGTTACTTTCCATTTGTAGACATTTTATTTTTGCTAAAGTAATTTAAAAACGTTAATTAATAAAAAGAATTTATGTGGGAAATGGGTATTTGGACAGCATTCCACTTCATTATTATTTATGCCGTAAGTTTGTATAATTTTTCTTTATTTGTTATCTGTTTGTATTGATTTTGTGCAATTATTATATTTTGTATTGTGTTAATATTTAAAGTTTAAATATTCATTAATAGTACAAAATTACAAACTATTGAGAATCCTATAGTTTTCATTTACTTTCAATTCATTATATATTTTAGCAAATGGCATATCCGAAAAATTGGTGCATTTATTTTGCTTTGCCATTAAAAGCTTGTAACCCTGAGACTTTTTAAATGTTTCTGATCTCGGTGAATTAATATTTTGTACCACAGCTCGGTGATTTTGAGTTTTATTCTATTGGTGAATCGGTAGAAAATTGGTATTTTTGATCTGTTATATAGTTTGCATGTATAGTGTGCAAAAGGTTGCTGTAAAAGTTTTTGATTGCTTGCCATTTATGGAATGTGTTTGGGGATGATGAGTTAATTTGTGTCATAAGTCATTTTAAAATAGTAATCATTTTAAAATCTAACTTTGTGGAAAACTCTGAAACTTTTTTTCATATGTTTTTTTTTTTTAAATTTATAGCTAGTTTGCTTCTGATAATTATACATCTAGATTGGATTTAACTAATTATTTAAGTTTACTTTTTTTATTGAATGGCAAGTTTAATAAAGGTCCACAGTTATAGCATAGCACAAGTATTGTCGTCGTTAGCGCAATAAATAGGCAATATAAGTATACCTTTTGATCTGATTGCAAGTTCCCCCTGTTTCAAACTTTTAAATTTGCACACTTTAACATGCATAATTATTTTAATTGCACATTTAACTTGTTTGTATGCTTAGGACTCTATTTTCCTTAATACTATCTATATTTTTATTTGGAAAAAATCAGTTATTTATTTGTTATTGCAAGATTTAAAAAAGTTTAGGTGACAATATGTGATAATTATGAGGATTTTGTAACTGAACAATATTGCTTACACTTAAATTTTTATTCTCAATTTTTCAAATACATTGTCAGATCCAGTCTATGGAACCTTGTTTACTTTTCAAATTTTTGTTAGATAATAAATAATAAATTACTTTTGGGGGTGGAATAATATCTTTCTAATTATAAATAATGAAATAATTACCCAGTATTAAGCCCGATCTAGGTATCTATTTTTATCTATGCTAAAAAGTGAAATGAGATGAATTATCCTTTTTTTCTCTTTTACATTGAATAAGACAATAAAGGTGAAAAATTAATATGTAGATTTGTATCATAAATTGAATTAAATGATACATCACATTATGTTTTCAAATTATCCTTAAATTTTTTCTATTTAATATGTATGTGAAAATTAGTATCTTAGAAATTTTTATTACAATCTATTATCTGTATAATCTTTATTAAATTTAATGTACTTCTTAAAAATTAAAATTTATAAAGAATAGAAATCATGTTAACTTATAACTTATAATTTTAACTTATAACCTATAATTTGGCTTATTAAACCTTAAAAAAATTTTTAACTAAGCATTGAACTTTTTGTTTATGAAGAAATTTGTCTTTTAATTGATACATAGCTGCCAATTCTGGGAGTTTTTTTTTCTCCAGTTTTCTTGGTTTTCTGATTGCTGGTTTTATGTTTTAGAATATTCTCTAAAATTGGGAAAGGTTTTAGTAGAAAACCTATTATAATAGTTTTTTAAAATCATATGCTTGAGTATTTAAATAAGCATCACTGCTAAATAGTCAGCCTGATTTAACATGTTCCAATTGAGGCTTTTCTCTATACTAATGTGTTCAATTTTTTTTATTATTTAGAACTTCTATTTTTAAGTTAAAGAATATAATGTAATGTCATCTCTCTCTCAAAAAGTATTCATTATCTATAACTATTTAAAATTATGAATTCATTTTAAAATAAACATATTAAAAATATTTTTTATTTCTTTTATAGTTCTTTAAATTTATATAAAGTTATAATTTTAAATCGAAGTTTTTTTAGATTTATAGTTATTTATATAATAGTTTTTTTTTAATGAAAAAATCTCTATGTTAAATCTACTGAATTTTTTCCTTTTCATGTTGGCAGCTGTGTTAATAAATTAAATTTTAATGCATATTGAAAAATTTTGGATTTTAATTTTTAAACCCTTGCAAGATGTTTAAATTTTTAAGAACTCTGTAGCATCAACTGTAATTGTAATGAGAAAAGCAGCCTCTTTTTCAAAAGTCTTTTCAATGTTTTTAACAACCCTTGAAAAATATTTTTGTCTTTTAATCTTCTCAATTAAATATTTCATTTTATATTAAATACAAATATTTAGAAAATTGCAATTCCTATGACCTTTCACAAAAAAGGATAACTGTGTATACAAACTATCATGAGCTTATGAAAAGATTATTGAAATTTTATAAATCCCTTCTCCTTTTGTGAATCTTTTACCTAAGTTTAAGACCTTGTTCTATTTGAATTGTTTTATTTATTTCCATTTTGTGTTGCATTATATTGCTATTGTGAAAATTTTTGTTTACTAGTTTTTCATATTATAAAATTTCTCATCTATCGGCATTGCTCATCTATCAGTATTGCGGTAGTTTCCTCTTGTGCACACTGGCAACCTAATTGTATATTGTGACGGGACATTTTTAGGATATGCTATTTTGTTATGAAATGGTATGGAAGATACTTCTTGATTGAAAAACAAATGTATATATTTCCATATTACACAAAAAATTTCTTTAGTAGATTTTATTTGTATGAGTATTTTAAACATAGAATTAATAAAATATATGTACAGTGAATGTAGTCGTAAATGTTTATAAAAGCACACTTATTAATAGATAGGCAATTTTTAAATGTCTTCTACACAAGAGCATTCTGTTACTTTTAATGTATCTAAAATGTATTTTTTTTTCCATAAATATCCAAACTTACCTTTTAATTTTTAATGCAATTTTTCTTACAACTTTTTCCTTTTTATTGTGAGCTGTTATTCTAAAGTATTAAAAAGTTAGGGAAGTCTGTTGGAGCAGTTAAATTTATTTTTTTTTCCTTTTTGTAATTGTGTTTTAGGAAACTATGCAATTGGCTTTAGAATTATTACTAAATAATGAGGTGTACTAATAATTAAAATTTGATTATTAGAAGAAAAAAAATTCAATACATAATTGAATGTTTAAAAATATGAGATTGTTTCAACTCTAAAATTGTTTTCAATTAAAAGTATGTGTAAATAGAAAATCAAAGTAAGTACTAAAATTTTTTTCTCGCATTCTATCTAATAGTAATGACAATAATATTAATAAAAAAAACGCACAAATTTTTATCTGTGTAGATTTTATAAAATTGAACAAAATATTTTAGAAGTGTTTGAAGTCTGATGTTTTAAAGTAACTTCTAAATGTAACTAAATTGAAAATTATTCATTTCTGCTCTTGAGAAAATAAATATTTAAAAATGTTATTTTTTATTTATTTATTATTTAAACAGGAATGAAGTGATTTCGTTAATTTCAATACTAATGAAGAACTTTCATTGCTAGCAGTCTTGGAAATAATTAAACAATTTTATAAAAGTAATCATATTTCTATGTTTGAATTTGAAATAATTGGTCATAAATTTTCAACTACAAAATCATCAGTACTTGATAATATTTAGTTTCTGAAAATACCCTACAAAAGTAGGGGGTCCCCTTACACAACAGGTTGACTTATACACCAGGATATATGGTATTATACTATGTAATTACCTTAATGCTCAATAAGGGTTTCTCTTTTTAAAGCATTCTTAAATGAATAATGTTTGTTATAAAAAAATTAACAGAGTGCTCTTGTATGTGCAAGCTTTAAAGTGATGCTTTATCAAATTTCTACTATTAATTTAAGCTAAATATTCTATATTTTGAATATATATTAAAATTTTGTGCCTATTCAGCATTTTGAGCATTAAAATTTAATTTTATAGTTTGAGGTATTAGTAATGCTTGCTGCTACTTTTTCTTTAAAAGTTAAATACCTATTAGTGCCAATATGAATTTACACTCTTGAAATTAATTGTAAATGAGTTTTAATTATTCAAATTATCAAGATATTTTTTATTTAATAGTTTCATGTTTACTTTTTAAGTTTATCATTATGACATTCAAACCAGTTTTCTCAATATTAATAATAAAAATAACCTTAGCATACATTTTTTTAAAAATATTCATAATCAATTTTGATTACTTTTTAATTTTCAATTAAACTATTCCTTAAATAAAATTTATTATCTTGATTTTTTTTACAATGTTAACACTGCTATTTTTTTCTTTCTATTTAAAAGGTGTTTATTAAAAAAAAAATTATCAAAATTAGTTAAAACAAATATTCAATGCATTATATAGTTAGGGTAATAATTTGGATATCGGATAAAAATTAGGGTTGGCAATAATTTGGGTATGAATTGGCATATAAATTTTCTGTCTCGTGGTTATCAATAAATTGTTGTAAGGTTTAAAAGGTGCTATTTAGTTTTTCAATAATTTTCACAATTTAAAATAAACAGGGTTAATTATTTTTATTGGGTGCTTTATTATAAATGTTAGTAGTGGTGCTTTAATAAATTGATTTATGTGTTCAATTGAAAATTCAAGCTTGCTAAGTCTGTCTACATTTTGGCATTTATATAATTTATTTAAAAAAAAAAGGTAATTATGAATTTTATTGCATTTGCGCTGAACTAATTTAATCACCGACATACTAGGGTTACAGAAAAAAAATATTTTTAAGGACTGCACAAACTAGTTTTTATATTAAATGATAATAATTTAGTATAAGAACTATATGTATGCTATGTATTAGTGTAAGAACAATATTAATCAGACTTAAATGTTAAAAAACTTAAGTATATGTTTAATATTTTGGAAAGAAAAAATATTTAATGTTTAGTGCACTTTTGCATTGTTAATTAATTTAATTTTCTTTGTTGAAAAAATTAATTTTATCTTTATTTTACCACACATAAATTTAGCCATTTAATTAATGAATAAATTCTTGAACTACATTTGTTATGAACTTGATTTAGTTTTAAAAAAAAGTTTTCTGAAATTTCGAAAGATTGATATCTTGTGACACCGTGAATAAGTAAATTTTAATGTTACAATTCGGATGTTTCTTCAAAGCTTATTAAAAATAGTTTAAAAGACAACATAAAATTTCTTTTTAAAGTAAGTAGTTTTTTTAAAAAAAAATTATCTGAGGTTAAAAAGCAGCAAGCTGCACGGTGTGGCATTCATATCTCTTTGTTGTGTTCCTTGGCGCATTTGATCCAAAGTTGTTCATCCCTTCTATCTATCATTCCACATATATTTTATATTGTCAGTATGAAGAAAACTGGTTTAAATTGTCTTAATATTTTGTCATATTTTAAATTATAATTTAAATCCCAGCCGAAACTAGTTAAAAGCTTGTTAGGATGCTTTTTGATTAGTAGTTTACTCATGTGGCTAGTCTTTAGTCTTGAACTGTTGATTCCTTTGCTAAGAATTTTTAAAGTTATTTGGTTTTCTTTTCTTACTGTACAAGTTAAAATATTCTCTTACAAAAATATTTTGGCTTATATAAATTTTTTTAGTGTATTCCGTGTCTAAATGTACAAATTAATTGTTTTCAGTAAAAGTAAGTTTTGTAACAACTAAATTAAAAAAGAATTTGTTACATGACAATAAATTTTTATGTCCCGTTTATAAAAATTGATATTTAAATCAAAAGTTATTAAATTTCATAAAACACTGTCTTTGTTCATTTTCTATTGTTATTTGTAAATAAAAATGTCACATATTTCTGTTATTTATCAATTAAACATCACACATTAGACAAGTCGAGATTATCAATGTATAAACAAAATACTAATTGAATATATACAACATAAAAATCTTACAGAGTTGGCTACTTGTGGAACAACAATTTGATGGTATATTTCGACATGTGGTAAACCTATAAAGGGGAACTTAATGGCTTATGTAAGATTAGTATTTGACCATTAAAACCAACTAAGTCAGTAAACCGTTGCCAATTGTGGCTCCTCTTCCACAAAATAGTACTCAACAATAGTTCCGACAAATTTTACTCAAACATAAAAATTTCCTCAAATTTTATTTATAGGATTTTCTTTTTTTGTTGTTGTATAGATTCGGCATTTTGATAGTGCTGTTTAGTTTATTCATCAAATTGTGTTGTAATGATTGTTATATGACAAAATTCTAAACTTGTTAATAATGAAAAACATTCTATTCCATAAAATAGTCTCGATTGCAACAGACTGAGAGAAAAGTATTAACTGTGAAAAATACGTGTTTGTTGCGAATTTGAAATTAAAAATTCATAATAAGATCAAACAATGACTTACCATTTTATCGTTCCTCGCGCGGGCATTAGTTCGCAGAAAATTTCAGAAATTTGCTAAGTGGTAAATTTAATGAGGATTCAAAATTATTCTAAGATTCTTCTGATTTAAATGAATAAAGAAAAAGAAAAATCATGACTTTTCTGTTTATAAAATATTAACATATCCTCAAAATTCTACTTTTTTTCCGCAGTAACTTTAAAAGGTTTTCCCTGATAACCTATGTATTGATATTTTATTTTCAAATTAATAAATTGGATTTAATTAGATTTTATATCCCATTAAACGAAGTAGTTTATGTCCAAATGATTAGTAACGTTTTTAAGTGCTTTTGAAATTTAAAAATAACTTACATTTACTTCGATAAATTTCTGGTTTAGTTCACTATCGTTTGGAAAAATATTTCTTACGTAACGTATATGTTGAAAGGTATGTATGAATATGTGATAATTTTTTTATTTTTGAAATTTTCTCCCATTGTTTTTTGTAAGAGCTAACACGTGTAGCCGGCGGTTTTTTTAAAAAATTAGAAAAAAATCTTAATTTTATTTGTACACATGTAAATATTATAATATTTTTTCGTTAAAATTTCAAAAAACCATCTGCTAGTTCTCATGTACTCATATTTATGTGTAATGATGATGAAAATTATTTTAAATTAAATATATAAATCTAAAAAACAAATAGAAAGTTTAACTTTTATTTCCACTTTAAATGCAACAATAAAAGTTTCCGCTAAATGGGTGAAAGTTGGCGTATATTTGCCGTTAGAATTACAAATGTAACCAAAGCAATCGGAAAATTAACTAAAACCGCAATTTGAGTAATACCTCGGTCAATTTTCATTCGATTATCGAAGGACGTCATATTATTTCTTGGTCAATGAGTTAAAGCCCATTTATTTATGACTTTAAAAAGAACTATTATGAAAAAAAAAACGTGTAATAAAAAATACAAACAATTGGGAACTTGCCGCTCCAAGAAATTAATTATGCACAACCATGTGATTAAAATGGATACTTGTAATCGACGTCGCGCGTGTATGTCGAACAGGATTAGGATCTGAATCGAAAAATGCCACGATTCACCTACGCTGACGTCACTTGCAGGTATCCAATTCTATTGTTTTCTGATGAGAATTTTGTAACACCTATTGATCTTTATACAGGATGTTCAATATAATCTCCACCATAAAGCAATTTTTTTTTAAGAATCCTGGTCAAGTGTGAAGTAACAACATCAGTATGCATATTGGGGTTCTCAAATTTATATTTTTGCGATGGTGAAACAAAAGAACTTGCAATCTGTCGAATCACTAGTGCGGAATGTGGGAAGAAAAAGCCAGTTTGGTTGCCTGATGAAACTTATGGGTATTTCTAATCGCATTTTAATTCTTTTTTTATTTTTTCGGAAATCATAC